GATGTCAAATGGACATCAGTTCACAGCACATTGAACTAAATGAATTCAGTTAATCTCTCTGATGCTCCTCCATCCCTGGAGCCAAATCGTGACGCTAATATTCCCCTTCAGGGTCATTTCAAGCCCTTTCAGCTCCACCACGACCAGTGGCACTTTACTTTTCCAGAACTCTCTTCATTTTCCCACTCAACTAACAGCAAGAATCCTGCAAGCAGAGGAGCTGAGTGCATCACGCTGGCTTTATATGCTTTAATGCGTCACTTGCAGCAGATTTTCATATGTTGACAGGGTAATATGATGTCTGGTTGTAAGTTGAGTCTTAATTAATGCAGTGTTCCAGTACTTGTGTTTCACTCAGCCCTGATCTCACCAGGAAACGTAACTACTTTCCTTGTTGGCTAATTCGTAGAGAACTATATGATTTAGTTTGTATGAAAATGGATGATTTTTAAAAGGAGGCGTGGCCTAAAACCCCACCCCTAACTCTATCCTTGAACCCACCTCCTTCACTGTAAGCTGCTGTTCTGTCTGTTTCATTGATGCGTTTGTTAGATGTTTGCTCCCACTTTTGTTTGCTGTCTGACGCTTGTCAAACACACAAATCGCCCAATTCACGCGTGTTATACACTCGATTTGCACCACAGCTTGTCTAATTGCATCTTTGCATTGACTTTGCATGTAAATCCAGTAAAAGATTTGCTGCATAACAATCTCATCTAACGGTGCAGGTGAGACAACATTTTTCGAGAGACACTCAAATACATCAAGTCCGCTGCGTATGCAATGTATACATGTCAACATTGGGATGTGGAAATACGGGATATTCCCCTATAGCACATGTACTGGGACACATGGTTTATGCTTACAGACTATGCATATGAGGAACTGGCCACCCCTGAAGAACAAAGAACCCCCCCAAAAACTAAATTAATTAATTAATTAATTAAAAACAAAACAAACAAACAAACAAACAAATATTGAATGAATAAATAAATAACGAAATAAATAAATAAATAATTAAATAAACGAATAAATAAATAAATAAATAAACAAACAAACACACAAAAAAATAAAACAAACAAATGAAAATCACATAAATAAATAAATAAATTAATTAATTAATTAATTAATTAATTAATTAAAAAATAAAAAAAATAAAAAAATTAATTAATTATTAATAAAAAATAAATAAATAACTAAATAATTAAATTAAAAACTAACTAACTAAACAAACAAACAAACAAACAAACAAACAAACAAATGAATAAATAAACAAATAAATAAACAAACAAACAAACAAACTATAAATAAATAAATAAATAAATAAATAAATAAATAAATAAATAAAATAATTATTTATTTATTAATAACAAATAAATAAATAACTAAATAATTAAATTAAAAACTAACTAACTAACTAAATAAATAAACAAACAAACAAATGAATAAATAAACAAATAAATAAACAAATAAACAAACAAACTATAAATTAATTAATTAATTAATTAATTAATTAATTAATTAATTAATTAATTAATTAATTAATAAACTATAAATAAATAAATAAATAAATAAACAAATAACTACATACATACTTAAAAAAACAGACAAACAAACAAACAAACAAACAAACAAATAAACAAGCAAGCAAGCAAACAAACAAATAAATAAATAGATAATATAAAAAAGACAAACTTTTCCAAGTACTTTGTGCCAGTTTGATGTCGCTATCGCGTTTGCAACCACAGATAAATGTGATGTAAAAGAGCAGCTTGAACATTTTGATAAACTCCTTATATCTGCCGTGCGCAGCGTCGAGTTCGCTCAGGGTTTCTGGAGGTCAACTCTTTCTTTAAACGCATTGAGGAGAGTTTTGGCGCAACTTTCTCTCCCGGCGTGGAGATCTTTTGTTTACTCCGCTGTGTAATGCTTTGTGCCGGTGACCTTGTTGGCAAATATGGGCCTGAAAGGGCCGAACGCATCGGTCCCGGTTCAGTGGCTGCATTCATGAATAAGACATGACCCATATTCCCACACAACAGCGCACGGCCCATTGAACGGCACGTTTTCAGGGGAAGAAAAGTATGTCGGGGCTTAACCCAGGCAAAGACGCTTAAAAGCGAGGCTTGTTTTGAGTCTGCCGCAGCCTGATATCTTACAGCCCAATATGTATTAGCTGTGTGTCATTATTCACGCTCAAACGATGCTGCGTGCCCATCGGCTGAGTGTGCAGTAATTACTAGCATGCAGCTAACTTCATTTATATTAATGGAGAAATATTAGTTTAGGGCTTTCTGCTCATATTTACCACATTTGCATCCATTACAGGTGAAGCTGGAGGAGAAAGTCAACCTCACACGACAGCATTACAGCATTAGAAACACTACGGTACTACAGTATAGGGAACATCACACGACAGTATTATTACAGTATATTGATGTGTGTGTGTGTGTGTGTGTGTGTGTCTGTGTGTGTGTGTGTGTGTGTGTGTGTGTGTGTGTGTGTGTGTGACTGCTATTGTGTTGCAGGTTTGATCAGGCCTCCACAGCAGATGTGGCCACAACAGAGCGAGCAGGAGGGAGGAAAACAAGAGAAAAATCAACATGTTTATCCAGTAATGATGCTGATGTGTGTATGAGGAGGCATATTCTGCTCAGAACGTCCTGTTTGGTCATTTCATTAAAAGAGAAGTCTGTAAAATCCTCTGAGAACACACACACACACACACACACACATCCAGCACGACTCTACAAGGCCACTTTGTAAGAAATGCTGTAAATGTAGCATAAAATGAGAGTTATATTGATGATGGCGGAGCTAGCGAGCGGGAAAGCCCGTCTGCTAATTAGAATATTAATCACTCCTTTAAAAAGCTCCAAGGTCAGAGAGAGCTGAAGGAGCTTTCACAGTTCCAGAGGACGCTTTACTGCAGGAGATACAAATGTGGACGCAAACGCTGTCAAACGTTCACTGCACTGAGCAAACACACCACAGCACACACACGAACACAGTATAACACACACTCAGATGTGTGCATGTTCACCAAAACCACCTTCATTTGATTAAAAATACACTAAATACTGCAGAAAATTGTCAAATATTGTTACAGTTTTCTGCATCGTTAATCTATTTTTGTCACAATTAGGGCTGGGTAACATATCCAAATTATTGAAAGAATCCAATTATTATATTATTTACATATTGCAATGATTTGCAGAGCGATTTAATGCAAAGTACTTATGTGTCCTGATACTCACACATCCATTAAAAGACTGAAATAATATCATTTTTTTACCAAAAGTAGTTGCGTAAGGAATAATAACAAGCGTAAACAGAATCGCTTTCTGTGTAAATTGTTAATATTATCACAGTCTGACAGCAGTGTGTTCTATGTGAATGGGTAGCAGGTTGTGATTTATTAATATAATTACAAGCTGAATTATCTGCATCGTTAATCACAATTAGAGCTACGTAACATTCGTAGAATCGAAAGACTGTAAATGTGTTCATCGTGACATACATATAAAATTTCAATGCAATCTTACGCCAATTCGTAACTTTTTGCTTTAGTGGCTAATTTGTATGAATTTGTACAATTTAATACGATTTGCTCATTACCCAATGACGGTTAGAGTTAGGGGTGGGGTTATGTGCCACGCCTCCTTTTTAAAATCGTACAAATTTTTGTACGACTGAACTTGTACGAATTAGCCACTAAAAATACAAAACGTAAAATACGTCTGTTTCCTTGTGAGATCAGGCTGCAAAATATTGAATGATTTCATACAAAATTTTCTGACATTAACAAATATTTTGAAAGAAGTAGTTACATATTGAACAGTAATAATCACTATTGTAAAAAACATTGAAAATATGCGTAAATCTATAACGCACAAAAAACTAAACTAAATGCAGGTCACGTATTTTCAAATATTATTACAAATTTCTGCATCGTTAATCTATTTTTATCACAATTAGGGCTGGGTAAAATATCAAAATTATCGAAAGAATCTAATTATTATATTATTTACATATTGCAATGATTTGCAGAGTGATTTATTACTAATTATTTGTGTGTCTGACATTATCACATCTATTAAAAGACTGAAATAATATTATTTTTGGCATTTTTATAATGTTTTTAAACAATGCAGGTCAAGTATCAAAAGTTGAAGTTGAGTGTAAATGAACAATTAAAACGACATAGCACAAAATAAAACGTTTTCAAAATCCGCTCATATTTTAATGTTTTCCGAGCTTACCGTCATTCCCCTTCACTCTTGTCCCCCTTCACTTGTGTTTACAAATAAAAATATTTGATTTAGGCTTATGTGTTTATTTTTTAATCCATGACTGCAATACTTTTGGCGGAAATTTATGAGCCAAACGATTTTTGAAAAATTAGCAATCAATTCAGCAACGATAACACAGCAGAGCAGATCCTCCACTCAAGTGTGTTCGTTTTTCAAATTGTTATTGGTATTTTTAGTTTTATACAACTATACTTGATAATTGATGTATGTATTTTAGTTTGTTTACATTGTTAAACGTCTAATTTGCTTTACGCAAGAGTAAAAACGTGACATTTCAGACAGTATACCAATGCTTTGTTCATTGTTGTTTATAACAAATTATTTAAATATTATATCGATTATCAAATATCAAATTGTTTTGCATGTTATTGCTTATAAAATTTTCGATATCATATCGCCAAAGTCACAGTGATGCTAAAAATTCATATTTGAATCACATAAATACTTTATATTTGTCTAAATATTCACATAGAAGACAACTACTTTAAATAGCAATAATATTTCAATGTTTTTTCAACACACACACGTGTGTTTGTGACTGCGTGTGTGTATGTGTTTGTGTGTCTATGTATGTGTGTGCGTATATATCCATGTATATGTGTGTTTATATGTGTGTGTGCGTGAGAGAAAGAGAGACATATAGACATACAGACAGACACACGCACATACCTGATAAGCTGTAAGGCAATAAGAGAGCAATCGTTAGTGTGTTTTTACCGCAGACGTACCACGTAAGACGGTGAGTCGTGTGGTGGCGCTGGTCTCGCCGACGCTGTTGGACGCCACACACTCGTAAATGGCTTCATCTCTCGGCGTGCGCAGCGGCTGGATGCGCAGCACGGAGCCCGAGCCATCGTCGAACTCTATCACCTACATGTGCGAGAGACAAAACATGTTACCACAGTTTATTTTGCTCACAGATGACGACGGAGAATCATGCTTACACACACACACACACACGCACACACACTCACGCACACACACGTACACGCACGCACGCACGCACAGTCTCTCTGCATCTGACGCGACACTACGAACACAGGACACCGAAACAGTCTGGCTGAGAGCAAGAGTTTGATATTTCTGACGAATATTTAATTTAGTTTAATTATTTAAAAAAATATTACATTTAAATTGTAAAAAGTGACGTAGACAGAATGTGCATATAAATATAATATGTTTAAGCCTCAAAATAGTATAAGCCAGCAGATTTCTGTCTTTTAATACATATTCCACATGGACTGACACTAAAACCATTAACTACGAGTAAAATATAAGAGGAGGAGCTAAAATAACGAGTCCCGCCCCCTACCCAATATTCCGTTTTGAGTCTGGAAATAATCATAATCCAGCAGTTATCTATGTTGTAATGCACAATCCACATGTGAACGAAATATGCTTAGGAACGTCCTCCAACCATTTGTTAGCTATGGGTGAAATGTAAGAGGAGGAGCTACAAAAATAAACCCCACCCCCTACTCAATATTCAGTTTTAGGTCTTGAAACTGCAAAACCAGCAGTTCTTCATGTCGTTTTGCATCTACATATTGGGCAAAATATGCTTAGCCACGCCCCTCCAAATGTTAGCGAGTTAGTTACAAGTGATTTATTAGAGGAGGTGCTAAAAACAAACCCGCCCCCTACTTAATATTCAGTTTTAAGTCTGGAAACGACATTATACAGCAGTTCTGTTGTAATGCACAATCCACATGTTGAGCAAAATATGCTTAGCAACGCCCATCCAACCATTTGTTAGCTATGAGTGACATTTAAGAGGAGGAGCTACAAAAAAAACCCCGCCCCCTACTCAATATTATTTTAAGTTTTACGTCTCGAAACAGCAGAAGCCAGCGGTTTTCTGTCTGGTAATAAACTATTTCACATGTTGGGTGAAATATGTTTAGCCACACCCCTTCACCTGTTAGTTAGCCAAGAGTGTATTATAAGAGGAGGGGCTAAAAAACAAACCCTGCCTCCTATTTAATATCCAGTTTTAAGTCTGGAAACAACATAATCCAGCAGTTCTTTGTGTTGTTAAGCCACACCCCTCCAACCATTAGCTACAAATAAAATATTAGGAGAGGGACTAACAAAATGGCAAATGTAAGAGGAGGAGCTACAAAAACAAACCCCGCCCCCTACTCAATATTGAAACAGCAGAAGCCAGCAGCTTTCTGTCTGGAAATGCGCTGTTCCACATGTTAGGCGAAATATGTTTAGCCACGCCCCTTCCAACCTTTAGTTGGGTCTGAGTGAAATGTAAGAGGAGGGGCTAAAGTATAAACCCTGCCCCCTTACACAATTTTTAGTTTCAGTTTTCTGTCTTAAAACGGCATAATCCAGCAGTTTTCTGTCTTGTTATGCACAATCTGCATGTTGAGGGAAATATGCTTAGCCACACCCCTCTAACCAATAGTTAGCAACAAGTTAAATATGAGAGGAGGGGCTAAAAGTAAACTCAAGTAACCTCAACTTAATATTCAGTTTCAGTTTAAAGTCTTGAAACAGCACAAGTTAGCAGTTTTAAGTGTCATAATGCACTTTTCCATGTTTAGCGAAATATGCTTAGCCACGCCCCTCCAACCATCAGTTAGCTATGAGTGAAATATGAGAGGAGGGGCTAAAAACAAACCCCGCCTCCTACTCAATATTCAGTTTCAAGTCTACAAAACCAGAGTCGTAATGCACATTCCACATGTTTGGCAAAAAAATGTGCTTGGCCACACCCCTCCAACCATGTATTAGTTATTTGCAAAATTTAGGAGGAGGAGCTAAAAATAAACCCCACCCTCTACTCAATATTTATTTACAATTTTAGTAGAAAGTAGAAACAGAAGCCAGCAGTTTTCTGTCTCGTAATGAACTATTCCACACATTGGGGGAAATATGCTTAGCCACGCCCCTCCAACAGTTAGTTAGCGGCAAGAAAAATATAAGAGGTATAAGAGCTAAAAAAAAAAAACAACAAGTCCCACCCCCTACTTAATATTCAGGTTAACATCTCCAAACTGTCTAATCCAGCAGTTCTCCATGTAATGCACAATCCACATGTTGGGCAACATATGCTCAGCCACGCCCCTCTAACTGTTTTGTATGAGAGGAGGAGCTAACTATAAACCCCGCCCTCTCCTCAATATTCAGCTTTCAGTCTCTAAACAGCACAATGCAGCAGTTCTCCATGTCGTACCACTCCGCTATGTTGAAGAAGTGTAAAATGCTCAGTGAATGTCTGAGTGCGATGCTAATTCTGAAGCCAGACGTTTCACGAATGAACGTGGCGTTGACGTGGGCTTTAAGAATGGGATGTTTTTGGGAGCGATGGCCCACTCTTAAAGCTGAAAGATGGAGATGAGGAGACGCCACAGGCACAGACGCCGTCAGACAGGGGATTAGCCTCCACGCAAGACGACACAAGACGCTAACACACACACACAGCTTTAGTAGAGGCAGTCCAGCGGATGTATACTCACTTCTGATGCGTCACAGAATAAATACACCAGTGGTCATACGCTGCCGCTTTTCTTTCACCGTCACGTCTCACGCAAAGAAACGCGAGTATGACCACGCGCTCACACACATGCGCTAGTGTGTCGATTAGCGCTGAGTTAGAAACACGTTAGTGCTGAGTGTAGGGGAAATGATGCGGATAATGTTAGCATGTTAGCGTCAATGCTAGCAGCGTGAAGCATGGAATGAATGCTGATAAGATTTAGATTTGAAGGCGAAAAGGTAGGTGTGCATTATAGATATGTACACTAGATACGGCATACGGGCCATAAGCATGCGTCAATAGCGCCGCCATATTGGTACATGCCTCCCAGGATTAGAGTAATTCAAACCTAGTAAAGACTAACACCTGTTTATAGGGTGTAGTAATGAGCGAACAAGGAAACAATTTGTTATGCTATGTTCTAAAGTTTTAGCAATGATGTTTATGCAGTCGAATGCTGCACTGACCATAAGGCAAACTAGCGGCAACTTGCACTAAATACTAGGCTCATGCTAGTCTTGTTGAAGAAAGCAGGACATGTTTCATGTTCAGGACATATGGATCAGACCAAAATGAACACTAAGGGAGGATAATACATCCACCTGCACTGGCTTTCCCACATCTGGGAGTGTTACGGTGTGGAGAAGCCCCACAGAAGAAACCAACCCAGACTGCTGATGGCCAGACTAAAGCATATATAAAGCATATATTTGGCTTACCGTGCTCTAAAAACAGGCCTTTTAAATCTGACAGCACTTTGGTCTCACATTTATTTCAAAGTAGTGCAAGCCTGTACCAAGATGGCGGCTCTAATGACACATTCCTTCCAATAGACAACAACAGCAGTCTACGTAACATCTAGTGTGTATATCTATGGGTGTGGCATTAGCCGATTAGCGTCTGCTTGATGTTAGCAAGAGTGAAGATGATCGCACGGGAAGATGACGCGGAAATTAATAAAAATCTTATCAGCGTTCAGGCATGATGCGTTTGTTTATCATGCTGCAGATTCAGGAGCTGATAAATCAACGTACGAGACTGTGCCGAACATGCAGGAGAGAGGAATGAAGAAAAATAAAGCTCCGGGAAGCCGTTCGGCCATGCAGAGCAGGCGTTTGAGGATAATAATAATGATGATGGTAATAATAGTGTGATGTTTGGATGAATGCGGTTGTTATGACGGGTTTTATGAACTCATGTTATTGAGATCTGAGGGTGGATTCACAAAATACTCTTCAGAATAATGTGCTTTTTTAATATAGCAGTTTTTATTGTAATTGAATATATTATGTTGTGCATTTTTGAAATGGTTACTGCTCCTTTCATTATATTTAAACTATTTTATTATTTTATTCATGGATTTTTTTTATATATATTTTCAGTTGTTTTGAGTTTTTAACATTAAAATATGTTTTACACAGTGTACGCCCTTCCAGCTGAAACCCAGTACTGGTAAATACCCATACACACTCATAAACTACGGCCAGTGTAGTTGATCAGTTCCCCTATAGCGCATGTTTTTGGACTGTGGGGGAAACCGGAGCACCCGGAGGAAACCCACACCAACACGGGGAGAACATGCAAACTCCACACAGAACTCGAACCAGCGACCTTCTTGCTGTAAGGCGATTGTGCTACCCACTGCGCCCTTGACTATGAAATCTGCATTTAACAATGTAATAAATTAATATAAGTAATGATTAACTTAGTTTAATATGTGTCAATAAACATAAAAACACATGATGTCGTTACATGTTTTTATAAAAAATAGTTATTAAATCATGCTAATGTTTGTAACTCTGTAACCCCAAAACGACTCAGAAAGTGAAAACTCATCCTAAACGCTTTTATAATCAATCTAAATATATGAATATTGTGAATCTGGCCCCAGGACATGAGCATTCATGCGTGTTAGTAGAATATGAATATGCTAATGAGCGGGTGTGGCTTGTGATGTTGGGAGTGGTCAATGGGTGTGGCTATCGTTAGCATTCACTTGTCGAGCATTTTACATCAGAACAATAGACCTAATACCTCAAAGCGCTGGTTGCTGACCCGTTTCCCCTTCTTGTTCCACACGATTTTGGGCCGCGGGTCGCCGGACGCCTGGCAGATGAAGGAGGCCACGCCGCCCTGAACACCCGTCTGATCACTCGGGGTGCGCAGGAACTTTGGCGGAGCTAAAGGACAAATAAAACAAGAGAGAAATACACGGTTATATAACTTATTTAAGAAGAATACATCAAATAAATACAGCTTTAACTAGTCAGAATTATTCACCCCCATGTGAATATATTCAAATACATTATTACAATTATTTCCCAAATGATGTTGAACAGATTCAGGAGTTTCTCACAGTATTTTCTATAATATTTATTCTTCTGGAGAAAGACTTATGTGTTTTATTTGGGCTAGAATAAAAGCAGTTTTTAATAGTTTTAAAGCTCAATATTATTCACCTCTTCAGCAATATTAGTGTTGGATTGTCTCTGTCACGATTACCAGCGATCATTTCCCATAAGATCGCTGGTTTGCACCTATAATAACCATGGACTACAAATCCTCCATTTTTGGACTACATTTTCATACATGCACTACGGTCACACTCACACTTGCTTCCTCATCTAGACTGATTACATTCACACCACCTGAGGATTGTCAGAGACTGATTAACACACACTATTTAAGCCACACACTCACCCCTTCAGTTTGCAGAGTCTTGTTATCTGTCACAGTAGCATTACAACGCGTTTCCCAGTCTAGTTATCTTGTGTACCAACCGTTAGCCTTGTTAGCCTCTTTGTCTTTGCCTGCCTTTCTGACCTCTTGCCTGTATTCGACTGTGATTCTGGACTGTCCTCACACACCTGTTTGCTCCTGTGTTGACCACCGCTTGCCTGACTGTGAATAAACCTGCTTTGTGGATCCTAACCTCAGTTGTATGTGTTACTCCCCGACGTTAGTCTCCAGAACAAACCACTGTTATACAATGACTTGCCTAATTACCCTAACTTTACCCTAATTACCCTAGTGAAGCCTTTACATGTCACTGTAAGCTGAACACTAGTGTCTTGAAGAATATCTAGTCTAATATTATTTACTGTCATCATGACAAAGAGAATAAATCAGTTATTAGAGATTACCTAGAGTTTTCATTTGAAAGATGATTAGAAATGTGTTAAGGAAGTCCTCTCTTTGTTAAACAGAAATACACAGGGTGGCTATTAACTCTGACTTCAGCTGTACATATCTTATTTGGGATACAATTGATTTGATATGGCGGCTGCGTACTTCATGTGACAAACATCATCACAGCCAGGCATGTGCACAGATAGGGCTAAACCAGTGCAGTGCACATGCCCTGTCTAGTCTTGAATAAAAAGTGTCCCTAAAAAATTAACAAAAGTGCCCCCCCGTCTTCAGTTTGTGCATCAACTGACCACCACAGCTCCCGTCTTCAGTTCGCAATCAAAATCCTACCACCCCTGTGTGGCTGTGAGGTAACAGCACTACCTACTGCGCCACTGCATCGCCCTGTTAAAGTTTATTAAATTATCAACGACAGCAGAACAAGAGCTACTATACAAATACATATTTTATTATGGCAAGAATAAAATAAAATAAACAATCACTGACTAAAAAGAACAGATGTTTTTTTTTTTCATGTAGACATGTGTACAGTCCTTCTGTTTCAGGCAAAATCTCTTCAAAGTGGTTTATATTCAACTCAAATCACTGTTTGCTCGAGTCTGAAATAAACGCATGAACTCCGCAAGCTGAAATCATGTCGAGCGCATCCAAAGCAAACCTCCGCAAACACAGCGATGACGTCACATTCACCGCGCGCACTCAAGTGAACAAGCGGCTTCTTTTGCCAGGCTCTAATCATCCATTCTGCTTCTCCTGGACGTGTCTGATACAGTAAACCATCAGATAATGCTGTCCACCCTCTCCTCAATGGGAATCACTGGAGTACCTCAGGGATCTGTTCTGGGTCCCCTATTATTCTCTATTTACAGCACATCACTGTGAGCCATCGTCCAATAACATGCTGTCTCTTATCACTGTTACGCCGCCAGCACAGCTCATCCATAAGTCTAAGTAGTTCAGTAGGGAATCTTGGGGTGATCCATGCAGGTTTGCACTTTTCAACATCAGAACAATCAAACCCATCCTAACATGCTCACTATTGCTATAATCCCCGCATTTATCAGAGGTCGCCACAGTGGAATGAACCACCAACTGTTCCAGCATATGTTTTACACAGCGGATGCCCTTCCAGCTGCAACCCAGTACTGGGAAACACCCATACACACTCATTCACACACACACACACACACACACTCATACACTACAGCCAATAGTTGATCAGTTCCCCTATAGCGCATGTGTTTGGACTGTGGGGGAAACCGGAGCACCCGGAGGAAACCCACACCAACACAGGGAGAACATGCAAACTCCACACAGAAACACCAACTGACCCAGCCGAGACTCAAACCAGCGACCTTCTTGCTGTGAGGGTGCCTATAAGTGATTGGTGACTTTAAATATTTTCTCTATTGGTGTGTGTGTGTGTGTGTGTGTGTGTGTGTGTGTGTGTGTGTGTGTGTGTGTGTGTGTGTGTGTGTGTGTGTGTGTGTGTGTTTCTCTGTCAGCATGTCGGAGTGATGAGGTCAGAAATGTGGTTTATTTTCAGA